ATTCCAAGTCATGATGTACCTTACCAAATGAGCCTTTGCAGATAGTTACCTTTCAGCATGATAGCTGCCAGCTGTGAACTGTCTAAGTCAGTGGTGGGCAAACTCATTAGTCAAGAGAGCCAAATATCAACAGTACAACGATTGAAATTTTTTTGAGAGCCAAATTTTTTAAACTTAAACTATATAGGTAGGTACATTGTTATTAACTTAATTAGGGTACTCGTAAACTGGCCTTTGCTAAAAATTTCCTCAATATGATTGAGGTACGTTCGCTGAGGTCGACCCCTTCCAACTCTCCCATCCACACTCGTCTTGTATACTTGTTTCGTCTCCTTTCGTTCATCCTCTCTATATGTCCAAAGTATCTATAAAATTAAATCATGACAAAATAAATCATGACAAACACTAATGTGAACAATGGCCTTGCATCTCCTTGGAAAGTTTGGGTAAGTCAGGTTTGTATGTTGTTGTTTTTAATTTTAGGCACGCACTAGAGAGCATCAATATGTATGGACTCGCTGGACCAGATTCAAGGTTCTTAGCTAGTAGCTAGCATTCTGTTCCCAACTGCAGCCTTCCAGAGGTCTCTGGAAGCTCAAAGAGCTGTTTGCCCTCCCCCATTCTCTCAACAGCATTTCATATTAAGAGGTTCAGTGTCCCTGAACGCAAGCTTGATTAAGTTCACAATATATTTCATCTCTACGGGTTCCCCCCCCTAAACTTCCCACCCACATCTTGTGGCAGTGGCTTTCAAAAGTTAATTGGGCGGGGGAGCAGTTTTCAGAGGCCCGCATCCTTCCTACCCAGCTCAGCTGTTTCAAGCACACAACACCGAAAGCAGTCAACAAAAAGTGGCCACTCAAAGTTCTCTCTAAGCTGAGTTAGTGTGGGCTAGCTCACAGTTTTTTAGCCTCCGTCTCACACATTTTTGTCTTAGCTCAGGAAGGATGGCTCCAGAGCAAACTCATTTATGCAGTAGTAGCCAAATCACTCACTCACAGCTTTCA